GCCAGGAGCAGGAGGCAGAGCTGGACCCCAAGGTTGAGGGGCTTTCACCCAGCCCCTAGAGCCTGGCACTTTGAACTTGGACTGAAAGCCTCCAAACCGTAAGAGAATAAACTCCTGTTTGTTAAGGCCATCCCATTTGTGGTCTATTCTTGTCAGAGCGGCACTAGGGAACCAGAACACATACCAATGGTCATGAAGATGGCACAGGACCAGGTAATGTTTCACTCTTATACGTAAGGTCACCTTGAGTTGGAGTCGACTTGAGGATACAAGCAACACCAACAACAGGAAGTGAATGAGCAATGGCATTGGCAGAAGCCAACCAAACTCATTCAAGTTTTATACCTGTGGATAGGTATAGTGTAAGCTACCTGAAAATAGTTTATTCAGTTTCATTTTCTGTATCCAGTAATGAATTTGTGAGGTATAAAATAAATTCCACAGAATAAAAATAAAGAACTTCCAAATATTACAAGAAAATCATGAAGGAGCGGTAGAAATAACTCTTAGTCTCTCTTGGTTTAAAGGAAATTATGTTGAAAAGCAGAGTTCTGATGGTACAGTGGCTAAAGCATTTGGCTAGAACCAAATAGATGGTGTTTCAAACCTGCCAGCTGTTCTACAGGAGAAAGATGAAGCAGTCTCCTTCCATAAAGATTTATAGCCTTGAAAACCCCACAGGGCAGGTTTTACTCTGTCCTATAGGGTAGCTAGTTTTGGTGGCAAAGTGCATAAGGCATTTCACTGTTAACCAGAGGCTAGCAGTTCAAACTCACCAGTCACTCCTGGGAAGGAAGATTGGGTAATCCACTTCTGTCATGATACCACCTTGGAAACCCAAGGAGGGGTGACTATGAGTCGAATCAACTGGATGGCAGTGTTTTATATATATATATATATATATATATATACACACACACACACACACATACACACACACATTAAAACCTGTATCACAATACTAGAATAGCATTTTTGGTATCATGTGTGACAACCCACACTTCACAGTGATTCAATTTGTGCATTATCTGACCCATGATATTTTCTTTTGGGAATTCCACTATTTTTATCATCCACACTCAGAGATGGAAGAAGAACGAGGTAGTATGAATCTCTTCTTATATATGGTTTTCAGCATAGAGATATTTAAATCTGATTTTCTGATTAGTACACACTCAGGTAAAATACTTCTTGAAAGTGTTATGTAAAATATTTTAGTCTTTAGCTTCTACCTATAAATTTCAAAAAAAAAAAAAAACCCTCCTATCATTTCTACTTACATTATAGCTGCTTAAAAGTCCCCTGATTGCCAAGCAATTTCACAATAACAAAACTGCTTTTGATATGAGCTTCATATTAGAAGTTTAAACTTTAGACCTTACATATGGATAAGAAATTTGGTGACCAATTGACTTTGTTGAAAACAAGATAAATGGTTTGGGAAACAAAAAATACTTGGAGCACAAAACTGGCACTAGAGATCTTATACTTAGTTCTAGAAACTTGTTTCTCTCTGCAGTGGTCTTTCCTTCCTCCACTTAACCAACAGCAAGGGGTCTCTGTGACCTATGCTCACAGTGTTAAATGATGGGGAAGTTGGTGAGTTCAATTGTGTATGGAGTTGAGAATCGCATCATGCTCCTTTTATGTCCTACCAGCTGCTTTGTTTGCCGTAGCCTAAATAGGTCGCTGGACAGAGGTTCTTAGGCTGGAGAGTAGCAGAGAGTTTAAAATGTTAGAGTCTAGAATGCTGAGAGCTAAAGCAATAAAGAGTTTCAATTTCCATGTTGAGCTTGGAATGAAATGACAGTTGTCTATAATGTTCAGCTTAAAGACTTATCTATTTAGATGTAATCGAAAAATGTGCAAAATATATACATGTGTCTATCCTAAGAGTGAGGTGCTAAACCCTTAAGACAGTTTTAAGGGGGAAAGAAAATCCAATTTTAACCAGTCTTCCAACTTTCTTCAATAGAAAATTGTCAAAAGTAATTTTAACGGTCATTGGTGCTCAATATCTCAAATTTATTCTTCAGATGGTCTCTAAAATAGGATATAAACATGGTCTATAAAGTGATATTTTCATGGCTATTTTGATAAATTTTCTAAGAGGAAGTGAAGAGTAGAAGTAAAAAGGGCATTTGCAAATAAGAGCCTACAGGATAAATTCAGAAGGTCATCTAAAGCAGAAAGCATGGATCTTCCTCACCAAAAGAAAAAAGTCCTTGAAATAGAGTGGCTTATGTTTGTCCCTACAGAGCTCTGGTAGCTCAGTAGTCAAAATATTTGGCTACTAACCAAACTGTCAGTGGTTCAAACCCACCAGACACTCCATGGGAGAAAAATGAGGCAGTCTGCTCCCATAGACTACAGCCTTGGAATCTCTATGCGGCAGTTCTACTCTGTTCTCTGGGGTTGCTATGAATTAGAATCTACTGGATGGCAATGGGTTTAGTTTTTGGTTTATGCTTGTCACTAAGAGCCACTGGACCCTTAATGTTAGTTTTCCTTCCTTCTCTTGAAAAGGAGAGCAAAGATATTAATTAAGACTCTTTCTGATAAGTTTTAAACATTAAGACTTAAAAGGCTGCCCCAAGCCCCAAAGTCCTGTTGCTAAATTTTAGAGTTGTTAGAATGAGAAATATTGCTGTTAGAGTGAGGAAGGAAAGGAAGAAAGAAAGAAGGGAGGAAGGGAAGAAGAAAAGAAATCAAGTGGTAAAACAACCTTCAGGATAGCAGAGACTTGGTTGTTGTTGTTGCCATTCAGTGCCATTGAGCTGGCCCTGACTCATGGAAACTATATGAACAACAGAACGAAACACTGCCTGGTCATGTGCCATCATAACAATCCTTGCTATACTTGAGACCATTTTTGCAGCCACCGTGTCAATCCATCTCATTGAGGTTCTTCCCCTTTTTCATTGTCCCTCCACTTTACCAAGTATGACATCCTTCTCCAGGGAATGGTCCCTTCTGATAACATGACCAAAGTAGGTGAGAGGAAATCTGGCCATTCTTGCTTCCAAGGAGCATACTGGGTGTACTTCTTACAGGACAGATTTGTTCATTCTCCTGGCAGCCCATGGTATTTTCAGTATTCTTTGCCAACACCACAATTCAAAGGCACCAATTTCTTTTCAGTCTTCCTTACTCATCGTCAGTTTTCACATACATATGAGGCAAATGAAAATACTTTGGCTTGGGTTATGTGCACCTCAGTCTTCAAAGTTACATCTTTGCTTCTTAACACTTTAAATAGGTCTTTTGCAGCAGATTTTCCCAGTGAAGTACTACATCTCATTTCTTGACTGCTGCTTCCATGGGTGTTGATTGTGGACACAAGTAAAATTAAATCTCTGACAACCTCAATCAGTTCTCCTTTGTGGTAGTTAAGGTTATGTGTCAACTTGGCTGGGCCTGGTTGAGAGGCTGGGCAGCTGGTTGTAGTTATTCTCCACAATGAGACTGGCAGTCAGCTCCATGGTAGACTCTGCCGCGAGCAGCTGAGAAGCTGCTTGAGGGATGTGGTCTGCTTCCAGTAGATAAGGAGAAGCTTTGGGAATGGCCTGCAGCATTTTGGTACACTTGGACCCTGCACGTAGCTGAGTCTTCATTTAGCAGCCCACCATGTTTTGTGAAGATCTTGAGACTGTCTCTGGACTTGAATTAGTGGCTTGGCATGTTGTTTGGTAATCTTGGGACTGTGCTATTTTGTTTGTTGACCTTGGGCTTGTTACCCTCAGCAGCCAGTAGCTGCCCAGTGAAGAGACATCTCTAGCTCCAGTGGGCCGGGAGCAAGAGGCAGAGCTGAAGCCCAAGGACAAGGGAATTTTAGCCAACTCCTAGAGCTGGCACTTTGAAATCAGACTTCTAGCCTCCTAAACAGTAAGGGAATAAATCCCTGTTTGTTAAAGCCACCCATTTGTGGTATTTCTGTTAGAGCAGCACAAGGTAACCAAAACATCCATTTATTGTGGTGTTGCTTATTGGTCCAGTTGTGAGGATTTTCTTTTTTTTTTTTTTCATATGAGATGTAATCCATACTGAAGACTGTAGTCTGATCTTCATCAGTAAGTGCTTCAAGTTATCTTCATTTTCACCAACCAAGGTTCCCTCATCTGCATATTGCAGGTTGTTAATGAGTCTTCCTCCAATCCTGCTGCCACATTCTTTTTCATATAGTCCTGGTTCTTGGATTATTTGCTCTTCATATAGATTGGATAAGTGTGGTGAAAAGATACATTCCTGAAATACACCCTTCCTGATTTTAAACCATGCAGCATCCCTTTGTTCAGTTTGAATGACAGCCTTCTGGTCTATGTACAGGTTCCTCATGAGCACAATTAAATGTTCTGGAAGTTCTAATCTTCACAATGTTATCCATAATTTGTTATGATTCACATAGGAAATGCCTTTTCAGAGTCAATAAAACATAGGTAAACATCTTTCTGGTATTCTTTGCTTTCAGCCAAGATCCATCTGACATCAGCAATGACATCCCTTATTCCATGTCCTTTTCTGAATCCAGCTTGAATTTCTGAAATTTCCCTGTCAATATACTGCTGAAACTGCTTTTGATTTATCTTCTTCAAAATTTTACTTGTGTGTGATAACAATGATATTATTCAATAATTTCCACATTCTATTAGGTTACATTTCTTTGGAGTAGACACAAATATGGCCTCTTCCAGTCAGTTGGCCAGGTAGCTCTCCTTCCAAACTTCTTAGTATAAATCAGTGAGTGCTTCCAGTGCTGCATTCATTTGTTGAAACATCTCAGTGGGTATACTGTCAATCCCAGGAGCCTAGTTTTTTTTGCCAGTTACTTCAATGAGGCTTGGACTTCTTCCTTCAACATCATTGGTTCTTGATCATATCCAACCTCTTGAAATAGTTGAACATTGGCCAATTCTTTTTGGTACAGTGACTCTATGTATTCCTTCCATCTTCTTTCATGTTTCTTGCATTATTCAATATTTTGCCTATAGAATCCTTCAATATTGCGACTTGAGGACTGAATTTTTTCTTCATTTCTTTCAGCTTGAAAAATGCTAAGCGTGTTCTTCCCTTTGGTTTTCTAAGTCTAGGTCCTTAATTACTAAGGAGTTAAACCTATGTCACAGAGTTCTCAGTCACTGCTAAAGTATCCACCAGAAGATGCAACTGTTACTAGCAACATTAAGAGCAAACTGTAGGAAAATAGGAGAATAAACATAGTGTGTTCTTTACCAAATGGAAAATTCTCTATTAGGTACAACTCTATGACCACTGATTGTCATTGTTGTTGTTGTTTTGATAACTATCATCTAAGCTTGATTATGTAAAATAAATTATGTGGTTGTTCTCCCTTGGCTTCCAGCCAACCAACAGACAGATATATAGGGTGAGCATTTATACCAGGTAAGTACACTCTTTAGATCAACCATCCATGGGAGATCAGAAGAGTAGAAGGGAAGTATTTGCACAGGGACATAGCTCAGAGAGCAGGAATGCATGGGAAAGAAGGATACAGGAAAAAAGAAGCCATAGTGAGAAAGTGTAGAGAGGGTTGTTACATTGTGGATTGCAATCAATGTCATGAAATAAAATGTGTATGATCTGTTGTATGGAAAATGAATTTGCACTCTAAATTTTCACCCAAATCACAATTTAAAAAAAAAAAAAAAAGTGGGTGTTCCCAATAGAAATGTCTTCAGTCAGAGTTGTTAGATGGAATTCATCCATTAGGACTCAATTTCTGTGAGGTAACAACTGTTCTTGGATTTCACTGAGCTCAAAATTTTTCTTTTGACCCATATTGAGGGTGATCATGTAATTTATCATCCAAACTGGACTACTTTTGGAAGTGAGAGTGAGTGCTAGTAATAGGTATGGGTTTTCCTCACTGACCAAAAATAAAGAATTCCTGGGAAACCTTTTGTAAGCCTGAAAATGGGGAAAAGCAAAGAAATAATTGCCATTAATTTATGTGAAAATATTTCTGAGCATTTCCAGACCCAAAAACTAATCCGTCAAATTCTACCAAAGAACACATAAAACCTAAACTAACACTAACACATAGTGTTCAAAGCCATGGTGACTTGATACTGAGATGCTGAGTGTAGTTCCCAGGAAAGAGCTTGGCGATGTTACCCTCGCTGCTCAGGGTGCGTGCTGCTGCTTTAACACTGCAAAACAAATGCTTAACGCTAGTTTTGTTGCTCGCCTTTTCTTCTTCAAAGCGAAAATCCTCTTCAGATTTCTTTTGATTATTGAAAATAAGTACTTCTGTGTTCACTTTGGTAAAAATGAAGTGGTGTAGAGTGCACTTTGGAAAATCAGGGATATGTGTACTCTGGAACACAGGCAAGTTGGGCAAACTGCTGCATTGCTAAAGTCACACTTCATTCCAACTACTCTCCTGACATTACTTTCATGGGCAAGATTTATTTATAGATATATATTCTGACGATAAAGAATACAATATTTTTGATTAATGTCTAATTAATTTTACCTTTGTCTGATGTTAGGAGCACTTGTGGAGTAGTGGTTAAAGCATTTGGCTTCTAACCAAAAGGTTGGTGGTTCAAACTCACCAGCCACTCCACAGGAGAAAGCTGAGGCAGTCTGCTTCGGTAAAGATTTATAGCTCTGGAAACCCTATGGGGCAAGTACTATTCTGTCCTATAGTGTTGCTGAGTCAGAATTGACCCTATGTCAGTGGGTTTTTCTGACGTTCATAGGAAATAAACACAACAACAATGATATTAGCTACCATTCTTGGTTAGTTTTATTATACATAATACTCAGTACACGAGCTCAGATATTCACAACAATCCTGCCAGACAGACATTAATCTCACCATTTTACAGCCAAGGAAAGAGCAGGGGAAGCACTTGGGTTCAAATGCCTGCTTGGCTTTTCCTGTCTCTGTTCCACTCAGTTCTAAAATGAGCACTGACACAAAAATTGGCAAAGAAGGCACTTTTCTGGAGACATGGTAGCCTGCTGTGCAAGAACGTCATCATCAAGCCCGGTTGGGGCTTCTCCCTGAAATTGGTCCAGGTGTGCACAGTTGTTTCCGACTAGAAGCACTGACACAAAATCTATTGACAGCAAACTATGACAAGGAAGTATCTGCCACACAGAGAGGGGGGGATACTTCCAAAGCCACAGCTCATGCCTCTTCCCAAAATAAACACAAACAAACAGCTTCGGGTGTTTGTATAAATCTGAAGTGAACATAGGCATGTCCCTAAACTGTAAGTCCACTGGCTTTGAACATAGAAAGGGGTACCATCACCAGCATGAACTTCCTCTTCAGCTGCTACCCCAGGCCCAACCCTGCTGCTGTTCCAGGCTAATGAACTAACATTTGGAAACGTGTGAGATGGAGCTAGAAAATTATGTGGCCTTTACGAGACATTTTTTTTTTTTCCTTTTTGCCATAGCAACTGTCCCAGATAATGTCTTATGGATCTATCACCTAGCAAAACAGAAAATGTTACAGAATTTTCTGTCTCCCAAAGACCATTTATTTTCATGACCAGTGAACAGAGAATCACAAATTAATAATATTGTCACCGGGTGGGAAGGTAGAAACACTTCTGACTCCTTGAGGGTTAGTCCCTTTGCACAACACTAGTTTTAGAGTTATTAGTGAGCAGGGGATTATATGATTCATTTTCTGTGGTGCATTAACTGCTATAGACCACTAGGGTATCATTAAACCATTACTTTTTCTAGTACACTAAATGGAATCAAATAATTGTAGTTAAGTGTGTTTATTTACCTTCAAAAGAATACCTGCCTAACTACTTCACAGTGCATTGGGAAAATAGCTACCTTGATTCTAAACAGTAATCTTGTTCTTATTGCAAAAGCACAACAAGGGCTATAAATTGCTATCTGAGTGCACCAGCACACAGAGCCTCTGTGGGTAGGAACAGACAGTGCATATTTGGAAACCCAGAAATTCATTTTTTTGGCAAAAGGACCAACGATTCCCCTGCCTTTCGGATCAGCAGAGTGGCATAACACAGAGAACTTGAATGCCTGGGTTTTGGGTGTAGTTCTGCTGAAATCTATCAACAATGAATTTCAACAAGCCAAGGATCCTGGATGAGGGTCTTGTCTTGGGCCTCAGTTCCCTAAACTATAAAATAACACAAGTGGATCAGTTTATCTGTGTAAAGATCTCTTCCCTCTCTAAAATTCTCTGCATTGCTCTTCCAGTTCCACATATATTGATACTTGGCAAAGCCCTTCACACATATTATTTCTTTTAATCCACGTCCAACCAGATGAGGTAGGTTCTGCTATGATCATCACTTTACAAGTAAGAAGACTGAAGCACCAAAAAGTGAAGTCACAACTGGGGAGAGGGCACCTTTACTCTTTGTGAAGAAACCCCAATGTGAGTAACACTTCAGTCCTCAAGAGGAACAAAAATGGGAAGTGATTCATCTTGGTAGTGGATTAAGGAAAAATAAATAAACACACTTGGCACAGCCCCTTTCTCTTCCATTTGGAGCCAGACACTAGGTATTACTCAAGACTATGGTTCTCCGGCCTGTGGTAAAGGTAGATGTCCAGCTGGATAACAACCAGGCAAGAGAATCCATCTAGTTCCAAGGCCAAGAATCGTGAAGTCTATGGCGGCCACATGGAGCCCCTGGGTGGTGCAAACGATTAACATGTTTGGCTGCTAATCAAAAGGTGAGAGGTTAGAGTCTACCGAGGAGCACCTTGGAAGAAAGTTCTGGTGATCCACTTCTGGGAAAATCAGTCATTGAAAACCCTAGGGAACACAGCTCTACTGTGACACACAGGAGGTCATCACAAGTCAGAATCTGCTCCCTGGCAACTGGCTGATTTTTTCATGGCCACATATTTATACCATGTCCCCAATCCAATTTTGGTGTTTGTTTGTTAATTTGTTTCTTTTTTTGTTTAAACCCTTCTGAAAACTTTTTCACTGAAGTGTGACTCACATATGTTAAAGTGCATAAATCTTTACAGGTCAATACATTTTTACATATATACATATCCATATAACTATTGCCCAGACTGTGATATAGAACATTTCCAGAAGAGGGCTGCTGTTTACTTAGGATTTCCTTTATTTATCCCAGAAATCTTTTGTTGCTTTCAGGATACAGATCCTAGTTATTTCATTTTTCTGGTACTACTACAATTGGTATTGTTTTTTTAAATGATTTCAATTAGCTATTGCTCTGGTAGCATAGTGCCTAAGGCACTTGACTGCTCACCAGAAGGCTGGCGGTTCAAACCCACCAGCCACTCCTCGGAAGGAAGGTGGGGCAATCTACTTCCGTAGTGATACTGCCTCAGAAACCCAAGGAGGGGTCGCTATGAGTCGAGTCCGACTCTATGGCACATAACAACAACAAGTATATAGAAACATTATTAGTATAAGAATATTGGTATTGCATCCTGCAATCTTGCTAAATTTGCTAATTAATTCTAATTTTCATATATTATTTTAAAATTCCTACATATACAATCAAGGAGCCCTGGTGGCTACTAACTGATTGGTCAATGGTTCTAACTTAACAACTCCTCTGTGAGAGAAAAGTGTGTCAGTCTGCTTCCATAAAGATTCCAAACCAAACCAAACTCACTGCCATTGAGTCAGATCCGACTCATAGGACCCCTCCTTGGGCCTTGGAAACCATATGAGGCAGTTCTATACTCTGTCCTATAGGGTTCCAATGAGCAAGAGTAGACTCAATGGCAATGGGGTTTTTGTAGATATAATCATATTAATAATAAAATTTATATTTTAGTCTTCATCTTCTGACTGTTGGGTCTACTTCTCAGTTGAATCTAAATTTGGGAAGGAAGTGCACTGGCTGGCCCACTATTATCACAGCAGTCCTGCATTCAGGCTCACACAGGTAGCAAGTGACAAAGGCCACATGCATGTGCAAGCAGGACACCTCCAGAGCTGGGCCAGTCCACTGCCAAGAGCTCCCTGCCCACTATTGGAGCAATCCCATTAGCGATGGCAGGACATTTGTTAGTAAACATGATCAGTTCTGAGTTTTCAGTAAGCTCACCCCAGTATGAATGTCCAGGGTTGAGAAACAAAAACCAAAAACAAAACAAACAACAAACAAACAAAAACAGAGTGAAATAACGTTTACTGCCAGGAAAGTATTTTTGATCATCCTTGCACTTTTGATCTTGTTAGTGCAACCCATTGTCATGCATGTAGGTCTAGTTATGCTGTCTTTTCAAATCTAGATGCCCAGCATTAGCTTCAAACTTCAAAACAAATGAAACAAGCATTTTATATCTTTCCATAAAACAAGGAAGGCATTTTGGGTAACATTACTATACATGACCCTCCCTGGAGAATATATTCTCCTGACTTCTGGCCCTTTGTGGTTCATCGCTGCTTCTTTTGATCTGGAACCATTCTACATTCAATACATAATTTGACACAATCTCCATTCAGGTCAAAATAGAAAGGGCTGTAATTATTTTATGCTGCTAACATATCAAGCAAAGAGTGCAGAAGTTGATATTCCTTTAACTTATCTGAGTATTAGATTAAATTAAAGGAAGATTAATCAGGGTATCTCTATATATAATGACCTTAAAGGACTCAAGTGCCCTTAATTTTTCTTGAATGTCTGGACTGCTAAATTTTCTTTATGCTTTTCCTAGGAGAATTGGTGTTAAGATTTGGAGCAGTCTTACTTTGAACACGCTTGAGTGTAGGATCTGTGAGGTTTTTGTTTTCTCTGACTCCATCTTTTCTTCTTTCCCTAAAGAGTTCTCTCTGCTCACATCGCAGAAAAATATGACCCTTCTCTTATTTTCTATTCATTTTATTAATATGTAAACTGACTCTTACGTAGGATATGAGAGAAGAAAGGAAAGATCATTTCATCAAGCTTATTATCATCACTGTTGTTATTATTAGTTGAATTTCTATTGCTTAACCCACCTGGTTTTAACATATGTGAACAATAAAGGCATTTTCTAAAATACATCATCACAATCTATTGTTGAGAGAGAAATCCCCCAGTTATGTGACACATAAACAGCAGGCTCCCCTGCAAATTGACGATAATTTATGTTAAGCCTTCAATTCCCTGAAAATACAATTGCATTTTGGCTGATTCATATTTCAAAAATTATGGTGTACATGAAAAACAAATGGGGACAATCACTCGTGTGTTTAAGTGATGTTGTGGATCAGGCAGGAACAATCGGTTGAACTGTGGAGCTCTTTGTTTCTCTAAAGACAGAAAACGAGCTGGCAG